TGTGACAGGCTTGGACTTGTTACTCTGTTGTAAGTACAAATGATAGAAAGGCTCTCTCTCTCTCTCTCTCTCTCTCTCTCTCTCTCTCTCTCTCTCTCTCTCTCTCTCGCGATGGCTTGCGAATTAGGGCCGGGCCACTTCGGGCTTCGGCTCCTGCATTGTGACAGGACAGTGCTTTCACTTACTTACTTTGACACGAATAATGGGGGCATGACGATGGCGACGATGGCGGCTGCTGCTGGCATCGACTTTGGCTCCCAGGAGCGAAGATGCAGTGATAGAAAGGCTCTCTCTCGAGTGATTGCTAATGAGTGCAAGGCTGCTGTGCGCCCTGAAGAGGCTGTGACAGGCTTGGACTTGTTGCTACTGTTACCAAATATGAGGCCATGGCAGCTGCTCCTGCTGAGGAGTCCTGGGCGCCGACGAGTCTGTGATAGAAGGGCTCTGTCTTTCGACTAGCAACATGAGTCTCCGGCCGCAGCGGCATCCTGGGACGTTATCATTTATTATGGTCGCCCGCTCTGGGGTTGATTGCGTGGGCTCAGGCCCTTGCCTCCGGGCTCGTCGGCGAGTTCATGTTCGCCCACTTCTGGGATTCTGTCAAGGGCAGCCACATCTAAGTTGTGACATCGCTGAAATCGACAGCTGTTCTTGGACCCGGACATTCTCCCGCTGCACTCGCTCCCAGGGGTGTTCATCTTGCAAAACAAGCAAATATAAAGCACTTTATCAACAGCCGGCTGGAAACTGTCTGGCCTCTGCCGCCCTTGGTGTCCTTCCCGGCACCTGGCAGCAACAAGTTCGGAACAGCCGTTCAGGAGTAACAACCAAATGCGCAATCCGGCTGGAAACTGCCTGGCCTTTTTTGCCCTTGCGGGCATCATCGTCCTTCCCTGGAGCAGCCATTCAGGAGTAACAACCTGCAGAATCTCAACAGCCGGCTGGAAACTGCCTGGCCTTTTTTGCCTTTAACATCCTTCCCGGGACCTGGCAGCAACAATTTCTGAACAGCCACTCAGGAATAACAACCAAATGAAATGCAGAATCTTAACAGCCGGCTTGGCCTTTGCCGCCCTTACCATCGTTCTTCCCTGGAACTGACAATCTCAATAAAGCCAGCTGGAAACTGCCTGGCCTTTGAAGGGCTCTTTCCCTTTGCCCTCTGGACCTGCCCGCAACAAGTTCGGAACCGCGATTCAGGAACAACAACCAAATGGACAATCTGAAAAGCCACCTGGAAACTGCCTGGCCTTTGAAGGGCTCTTTCCCTTTGCCTTCTCGACCTGCCCGAAACAAGTTCGGAACCGCGATTCAGGAACAACAACCAAATGGACAATCTGAAAAGTCGGCTGGAAACTGCCTGGCCTGTCGTGCCAGAAACAAGACAATCCATTGTCCATCCCATCCCCGCCTGGTGCTGGATCGAAAGGCGGGGGTGGAGGTGGTGGCGGTGCATGGCCTGTGCGAGAATCGGTGCTGATGCCAAAATAGCGCAGCAGCAGCAGCAGCAGCAGCAGCAGCGGCAGCGGCAGCGGCAACAGCAGCAACCACGGCAAGCTTTGTCAACCCGAACCTGCAGAAGGATCAGGAACGATGGACGCCGCCATGCCTGTTTGCGGAATGAAACGCATGAAAGCAGCAGCAGACAGAGCTCACTCAGACCAAGTACCTGGATTTCCGGCAGCTTTGAACCTCCAGAGGAACGATGGGCGCTGCCATGCCTGTTTGCGGAATGAAACGCATGGGAGCAGACAGAGCTCATTAAGACCAAGTCCGACCTGGATGTCCAGGCGAAGGAGCAGGGCCTGTCCGCAGAAAGGAACAGCAACAAGAGCAAGCTTTTTCGATCCCAACCTCCGGCAGGAAGGACGGGTGGATTTCCAGGGCAGCCTGTGAGAGAATCGGTGCTGACGCCAATGTCTGAGCAGCAGCAACCACGGCAGGCTTCGTCAACCCGAACCTCCAGCACCAGGAACGATGGGCGCTGCCATGCCTGTTTGCGGAATGAAACGCATGGGAGCAGACAGAGCTCATTAAGACCAAGTCCGACCTGGATGTCCAGGCGAAGGAGCAGGGCCTGTCCGCAGAAAGGAACAGCAACAAGAGCAAGCTTTTTCGATCCCAACCTCCGGCAGGAAGGACGGGTGGATTTCCAGGGCAGCCTGTGAGAGAATCGGTGCTGACGCCAATGTCTGAGCAGCAGCAACCACGGCAGGCTTCGTCAACCCGAACCTCCAGCACCAGGAACGATGGGCGCTGCCATGCCTGTTTGCGGAATGAAACGCATGAAAGCAGGAGCAGACAGAGCTCATTAAGACCAAGTCCGACCTGGATGTCCAGGCGAAGGAGCAGGGCCTGTCTGCAGAAGTTAAAGGAACAGCAACCAGAGCAAGCTTCTTCACCCCCAGCCTGCAAAAGGACGAAGGACGGGTGCTGGAGCAAGGCCTGTCTGCAGAAGTTAAAGGAACAGCAACCAGAGCAAGCTTCTGAACCCCCAGCCTGCAGGAGGACGAAGGACGGGTCTGTTTGCAGATAAATGGAACCGCAAGCACGGCAAGCTTCTTGAGAGCCAACCTCCGGATCGCCTCAGCTCCTGCATCAAGGAAACCCAAATCCGAAGAACTGACACAGCTTGGACCATCTCTCAGCAAACCCTGCCTCGTCTTGCGAACTGGGCTTGCGGGTTGAAGTCCGGCGCGCCCAAGTCGAAGAAACTGAGGCCTTCTCGGAGAGACAGTAAGAGCAATCAGGAAGCAAACTAAATGATTGAATCCCCACCTCCTGGAGCCCCCACCGTGGGAGGAAGCGGCTCTATCGGCGAGTATCCTGCACAGAAGTTGTCACTGATGACAGCAGCAAACTAAGTAGTGGGCTTTGTCCCGCCTTCTGGCGCCCCGTTTCGATACGCGGAGAGGAGGGACGCATAATGAAGGCACAGGAGGTTAAACATCGTGGCGAGGTTCTGCTGGCCCATCGTTACCTGATGGATGCAAGTCTGGAAAGATGCTTTAATTGCTGCTGTCAAAAAAACAAATGCCATCCAGGCCAAGGGCGGAGTGATGGACGGTTCGGAGCAGCGACATGTCGCGCTCCGCAGTGGCAAGCTTCTCCTGTTGGAGGTGCACTCAAATGTCACCTTGCGGTGCTCACCTGTCGGTGCCGAGTTTTGTTGGGGAGGCTTGGGGGATCTTGGGGGCACTGTCCTGTCACCTTGCGGTGCCCACCTTTCGGTGCCAGGTCTCTCCGAACCTACTTGCTCACAGCTCCCGTCCTCCAACCGCTCGACTTTGCATTCCAAAGCCGTTGTGTGCTTGATCTGGCCGGGGTATTCTCTATCATCTGCACTGATAATGCATGAATTGCACAGCCTGCCTCCTCGTCCCTTTTTGCTGAGCGCCCTTCTTGGCGCTTCACGTACGCGTACGAAGATCTGGCATGGTTCGGGCTCATGATGTTTCGCACTACACACTTCAAGCGTGTCGGCCGTACTTGCCGGAGCTCCACGGGCCCCAGCCTCGCGGGGGACCTGCAAGGTCAAGCAAGTTGCAGCGCAATGAGATCAGTTGCAATGAGATTTCAAAGTCGGAAACAACAGGAAGCGCCTCCACCACCCGGGTGGCCGCCCGGCGGGCCGCCGCCGTGGCCGCCGCCAAGGCCTCCCCCGAGGCCTCCACCTCCACTCTTTTACTCAGAGGGCTTCAGCATGGTAGTCAACGGTATATAGTACACAACATGATGACTGTACACGACCATACAAACTCCTACGCAAGCTGCGATGCAAAACTACACCCCCCTCACCTAAAGGCACGGTCACCGCATTCAAAAAATACAGGATACCTTCGCCTGCAGGTGGAAGAGCGCTTCGGCTCGGAGTTTGACGATCGGCGTGGAGTTGCCTCCCGCGTCATCAGATTGTTTCAGCAAAGTACATGTGACTACCGAGTGCCTCGAGGAAGGGTGCGAAAACTGCATGCAAGCTTTTCTTCAAATGCAAGACGCTGGTTTCAGCGTGGAGCAAGGGCTATAGGAGTTCTCCGCGCAGCCACTTGAAAAATATCACAGGCCGGGTGAACATCCCTCTTGCTCGAAAGAATCGGACTGCTGGGTCGGCATATTAGTACCAACGCCATCCACGATTGCGCCACTCACGCCAGTCCTGGTTGTCCCAGTTCTGACCGCGCCATGATCCCCAGGATGACGACGACCAATTCTGCCACCAGGATTGATCATCCCAGTCCCAGTCGCGGGTTGTGCGGTTGGCGGCCTCGGCGTTAAGCCGGGCTTTTGCCTTTTCCCTTTGCTTCCGATGCACGGGCATAAGTTGAGCCCTTGCCACCACCTGGCGGATGCTGCTGGGCGTACTTCGGCTGGGCAGCGCGACTCTGTTCGGCCTTTTTGATGGTCTCCTCAACCGTCTCCACCATGTAGTGAAGATCCTTGGCCAAAATGGTCTGTAGGTCAGTGCCCACTGCGCCAGGATCATTGTTGAGGAGGTCCACCTTGCCATGGCCAAAAGTCTGTAGGCGAACTCCTTCCTTCTGCTTGGCGATGTTGAAGGCAAAATCCTGAAAGGAAAGAATGGCTCCGTACCACGTGAACGCTACTGGCGTATCCTCCGGCGTGGACGTTAGTCCCGCTGCGCACAACTTTCCACCAATGCCATCGTCTCCGGTAAAGAAAACGATACGGCACTCGGGGACCGCGTCCGCGCGGGTCTCGTGCGTAGTCGATGCAGTCCTGGAGGATCCGATAGCTCGTTGTGATCGAGAGCGGCCAGGGTTTGGCAAGTAGGCGTAGCAGAGGCAGTCGAGGACACGAATCGTTCTGCGTGTGTATCCCTCTTTTGTCATAGAGATCGCGTATTCATTGTCCTGATTGAACCTCGCCACGCAGTCGGTAAAGCCCTTTTTCACGGCTCGTTGCTTTGCGACCTTGGCCTTCCGAATAACTTCGCCTTCTAGGGAGTTCATGCCACGACCGGCGACATCTTTCGATGCGCTTTGAAGGTCCGGCTTTGCTCCCACTCGCTCTGCAGCGTCACCCATCTCCTGTAGCAGAGCCTCGCGCCCACGTGCCAACAGCGTCCTTCTGCCCTGTGCCTTCAGTTGGCCTGGTCGGACTGGCCCTCCACACTGGGAGCAGATCCTTTGACCTTGAAGACACTCGGCTTTGCAGTGGTAGCACTTGATCTTCTCCAAGAAAGCGGCGTTTGGCTTGGCCTCACTTCCAGCATAAAGCATTGGTTCTGGCCTTCCCACCGGCTCCTGGACTGCTTCAACAGGTACACCCTCAGCGTTCAGTGTAACCTTTGTCGCGATTCCATCACCGATGTACATGGTTCGAATCGGCGGGCCCGGCTGGGCAATGATGGTTCCTGGTTCAACAAGCGGCCTCTCCTCTACGGAGGGCATTTGCTCATCACCAGGGGCTTCCGCATCATCAGCTTCTGCAGGGGCATCTGTGATTGCCAATGAACCTTCAAGTACCTCAGCAACATCAGGAATAGGCGGCAAGGTTGTTTCCTCGGCTGGAAGGGTACCAGATTCTTCATCAATAGGCGGTGCGAAATTGTCCTGAATCGTCTCCTCGGCCTCGGGCTCATCAATAACCATAGTGACGT